CTTTAGTCTAGGTCCCCCAGCTAGGTGCCCTTTTCCCGTTTCTTTGTTTGGGGAGGGTTCCCCTACTAAAATACTAACCTCTCTACTGGAGGACCTAGCAGCAGTGAATTTAGACATTGTTTGTTTGTCAGGGATCAAAGAGCAATCACGCACAGGAGTGTTGACCCTGGCACGCATCAGGGCCTTCTTTTTGGGAATTGCCGGGAATGATGGCGTCCCTTGAACAAACCTTGGAAAGAGTACCCTCAAGGTACGCAGCCATAGGAACATTACTTGGATCCTCTTCCGGTAATATTGAGGAAACTTGTGCTTTGGCAAGGCCAATAGATTTGCACCCCCCCCGGCCCCCTAACACCACACAACTTGTGAGCCAACTATTGCTGTGCCTTAACGTATGAGCTTCTAAGCTTGAATGCTCCCTGGTGAACACCAAGCTTGAAGGAGCCAGGAGCGCCGAATTCCCCTGGCACCTGTAAGAAACTCAGTTGCCCAAAGTGACTCAACCCAAATCGACCTTTCAGCTTCCCCTTTGTTTGGTCCATACTGTGGGTGGACGAAATCCATTTCGCAGCACCGAAGAAACCCTGGAATGATGATTCCCCTGTAAATGCCAGCAAACCATGGCTTCCCATACTTTCAAAGTGGTGCGAACGGATTCCGTCCACAGGCGAGATCACAAATTTGTCCACCTTTCCATTTCCAGGTGATTTGTGCTGCAAGAAAAACCTCGCTCCCTGAAGCCGAGCCCGAAGGCCATGCCGTGAGTCTCATTGGGCCCTAGCGGGTCATTCGTTTTAAGGCGTCCAACTTGAGCCAAACCGAAGGAGAAAGGGTACCCTCCAAACCGCAGGCCATCTTCAGATTGGTGTTTCGCAAAGTGGGGGGGAACCCCAAGTTTTTGGTGGTTTCCGGTTGGTTTCCCCTGAAAACAATGAACAAAAGAGAGGCACGGCCCCCCAAGAAAACGGGTGTTCCGGTGGTTTCCAGCGCCAACTTTACAGGGCGACCTGGTGAATTCTATGCTATTAGGCGGTTCCAGTTAGGTTTCCATCCCTCTACAGGAACCAGGGGTTCACATCTTAAACCACCCCCCAAGCCCCCAAGCACCCCTCGCCAGGCCAAGAAGCGACTGGTGGACCTGCCCAGCGACATCTACGGCGTGGCGATCGCGGTGGCAGTAGGCGACCTGGCCTGCATCCTCTCCTGCTCCCACATAACGAAGGCGGATTCCCGCAGCGGATCGATCCGGGAATCCGGCGCGAAACTCGACGAAACGGGCAAGGAAAGCGAAACGAACATGCGGGGGGGAAGCAGAAAAGGTGCAAAATGCCTCACTCCCTGAGGTCATGGACTTTCGTCACTTTTTTGGGCTTGGACCATTCTAAGGCGGTAAAACGTTTGGGGGCCTTTTTTTGGCCAATCCACTGAATCAAGTGAGATGCGGGGATGTGGGCATAGGGAATATTTTGGACAGCTTCCTTGTTTTTTGCCTTCCATTTGTCGTTTTGGATCCTGAATAGGTGTGGCTCGTTGTTTGATGGACCCCGAAAAAGGGGACTTGTTTTTTGTTTGGTGAAACCAAAAAAGGCCCCGCCCACCCCGCCCGGCTTTGAGGTTGGGTGTGTGTTTCTGAGGGTACCCCAAAAAGCCTCGTTTACCCCTCGGCAAATGGGCGGATCCTGCAAGCCAGATTTGTCCACAAATTTGCTCTGGGGTTTTGTGTTTCACTTGGGACGCTTGGTGGACATCGATGATATTAGATGGTTTCTACTATATATCCCCAAACAACTATCCAAGGGGAAAACGGGGTGACGGTGAGTGACATGTCGAATCGGAGTCGCTATCCCTGTGCCGATCGGGATCAGATAACCGGTGAAACCCACGCCGCTTGTGAGGGCCCCAGTTTCAACCGGAAGTCCTGAGGGCGCACCGATTTGTTTTCAACTCAAGGGCTAAAGCAGCGTTCACCTGGGTTGCTAGGAAAAGCGAAGCCCATACAACTGATTCTTTTGCTGTATCAGCCAACATCAAGCAACCTTGGGTATAATGTTGACCCAGGATTAATAAACCCGTTATATTATTAGGGGGGTGTTCCCTCCAAAAGTGATGAATCCCCACTAAAACGGGACACCCCCCTATTAATCAACCAGGGGTTTATTAATCCGGGGTTAACATTAGATCCGAAAGCAAAGCCCCATTTTGTCGGACAGCAAGGCCCCGAAACCGGGGCTGACAGATTTGTCCTGGCCACAGTTTGGAGCTTGGGGTGTACCATGTCTGCACACCCCGCCTGTGGCTTAAGCCAAAGGTCGGAAAGCTTGTGGTGACCGTTCCGCCTTTGTGGGGATGAAGAGAGACCAGGTGCCGTGGCTTAGGACGCAACAAGTGAATCCATGACTCTAGCTCACTTGTCTCAAGCCGACCTTTTGACCTTTTGGTTTCCCCTTGTTGGTCCAATTTTAGTAAAGGTTCTAAAAGCTTAATCTTTTTATGTCCAGATCCTTTGGGCAAGTAGTTAAGTTAGACACCAGCCAAACACATTGTATGTGTGCAATTTGGCCATGAAACACGCCTATTTGCCGCTCCTGTTATTGCCTTGGGGATCGTGGCTTTTCGGTACGGTTCAAAGTGAGTTTCCCTTGAGGTATTTCAAGGGGAATGTAGAGAGCCTTGCTGCACCCGCGAAGATAAAACACAACGAGTCCCTTATGTGCTCTTTCTTGGCAGCACCTTGCTTTTCGGGACGACTTCATGGGGTTGTTGCCAAAAAGGGAGTTTCATCCCAGACAAATACATCATTTGGCAGGAAAAGCTATGTCGCTTCGCCTTCGGTGTGTGCACAATGGGCGTGAACCTCTGGCTACAGATGATGATTCTGTTGCATGTCAACGACTACATTGTGCCGCTTGGACGCTTCACGCGCCTTGGGGAGGTTGGGTTGGAGTGCATGGTTGTCGAGGCGCATGGAAGGTAGAGCATATGTTGGTGTGTCAACAACAGGGAGACTGAGCATTGTAGGAGTCCCCTAGACACACTCAGGTCAGTACAATATATTAGGTAGCTGTGGGCACGCATGTTTGTTTGTTTTTTTCCCCGGCCGCGTTGGCTTTTGGGATTGTATGGGATTTTCGGGGAGGCGTTGGGATGCATTTGGGACCTGCTTTTTGGGAGGTTTGAGACGGCATTGAATGGGCTCCAAGGCGCTCGCAAAATGAAGCAGACAGTCCTTCCCGTATCTGGGGTCCAGTGAGAACGCGGCATGGTACACTTGTCAAAAGGCTTGACACGAAGCAGACCATCTATGCATACGTATCGCTTCTGTGATGCCAGTACCACGGAATTGTATTTGCATTCAACATGTGGGGTGTGTCGTTTTTGGAATATCGACCAGAGGTGTGTGTGTGTGTGTGTGTGTGTGGGTCTCACCAGCCTTTGGGACCAAACCATAAATGGCTTGACGGGGTGTGGCATTGGTATTGGTAAACGTGCGGATTTGTC